GAAATTTCATTTGGAATGATTGGATCATTTCAGACAAATTAAGGCATGTTGCATTTGATCCTTTCGGTGATAAATTTAAGTCATTCATGATGGCGACGAAGTTATTTTCTGTAATTCACATTTATTGCTGCACTGCACTTCATTCTTATTTTCTGAAAGAGTTAAATAAAACTATGCTCAAAAACACTTTTTAAAACTTTTTCTCTAGTGTTGGTGGTGCACACCTTTAATCCCAGTACTTGGGAGGCAGAAGCAGGTAGAACTTAGTTTGCGGTTAGCCTGGTCTACAGACATGTTCCAGGGCAGCTAGGGTTGTGTAAAGAGAACCCATCTCGAAAAACCAAAAACCAACAACAAAACAACTAACTTTTCCTCAGTGTGAAATAGCAGAGGTTTGGCCCATCCCATTTGCAGTTTTGAAAACAGTTGACTGTTTATAAAAGTGCTTACCTTTACAAAAGGGAAAGAACTTAGGCTGCTTTTCATTACTTCTTGTAACTCTTGTGGCTGGATCACCATTGCTAGTGATTACGGATGAATCATACAGCGAGTTCTGACAACTTCTGGTGACTCATTCAGTACCAAGTGTTGAAATCCAGATTGACATGCTATCATAGATGGAGCACCATCTGTGCACATACCATGAAACTTTTCCCACAAGATTTATGCTCTTTCAGAAATGAACTGTGTCCAATAAACACATCATGTGCAGTAGTTGATGTTTCAAGAGGTTTGCAAAAAAAAAAAAATTATCTTCAAAGTCACCATCAGGAATACACCTCACTGTAAACCGTTTGCAACACTGGAAAGTGGGGCAGATTTAACTTCCTGGATTGCATGGTCAAGAGTATTAGCAGATTATGTCACCTATTCTTCTGTGGCCATGTCACTAACAGGGCACTGCATTCAACTGTGTAACAAATTTATCTTCCATCATACTCGAATACTGTCTTTGGCTGCTGGCAACAGTAAGTCCTCGGCAGTGGTGTGAGGTTTCATAGCTCTGGCAACCTTCTGAAGTTTCAACAGCTGTTACCTTGTTTGTGGTACTGGCCACCAGTGTCAAGTCTGCTCCTCTTGAGCCCATCAGCTTTGCTTCTAAAATAGTTGGTATCCTTGCCAGCAAAGCTTAGATGCTAGCTACCTAAATGTTTTATTTAGTTTGGTTGACTTCGTAGATTTAGCTGATAGAACTTCAGAACAAATAACACATTACAGTTCCTCAATTCCTGCTGTTATTGAGGTAAAACCATACTCACATAACTCCTGTTTTTAAATGTCCTTCTCTAAACAATCCATTGTCATGGGATGGTTTTCTAATGTAAATAATATATAACAATAGCTTTAATAATACAAAAGATAGCAGGGCCTGGTAATGAAAACAGATAGACTCTTTTTAAGTTCAAGGCCAGCTGGGTCTACAAAGCAAGTTCCAGGGCAGCCAGGGACAGAGATCTGTCTAGAAAACCAGAAGGACAGTTTCCATCTCATTCTAGAACTAATATGGGTTGTTTCCTATGAGGAGCTCTGAGTTCCACTTCCCACTGTCTCCTAATTTCTGTTTTGGGTAGGATGAGAGGTTAGTTAACAAAGGAGGTACTTGGGAGAGATCAGGAAAAAAGACAGGCCCATTCCTGTTCATTTTCTTTGGCGTTTTCTCTGAATTTCTAGAACACCTGGTCACATGTTAGGTGACCTGTGGATAGTGTCTTTGACTTCTCTTTTAAGTACTACTTTTTAACTGTATATGTGTACATGTAATTGCAGGTGCCCAAACACACCTGATCAGATCCTCTGAAGCTGAGGTTACAGGCTCTTCTGAGCAGCCTGTCTATCATTGGTGCTGAGAATTGACCTTGGGTCCTCTGCAAGAGCAGTACTTGTTCTTAGCTGTTGAGCCATTGCTCCAACCCAGCCTTGCCAGCTTCTTATAGACACCAGTTGAGCTGGGCAACAGTAGCATATGCCTTTAGCCCTAGCACTTAGGAGGCAGACAAGCAAGATAGTTTGATTGAGGTCTGCTCTACTTACAGAGCAAGTTTCAAGACAGCCAAAGTTACACAGAGAACAAAACAAACCATAACTATTTCTTTCAATATCATGCTTCTCATTGCTGTTACATGTAAAGAAGGACTTTCTCACTCTTCAGCCCATTGACCTGAAAGGTGCCGCCTCCTGGGTGGGATAAAAGGCCTGCCTTTATTTGTTGACATACAAGAATAAACGTTACTCCTGTTTCTGTAAAAAGATGGTCATAGATTTTCTTTTCACTCAACAACTCACTAACTGGCAAAGGCTCTGCCATTCTTAAACATCCAAGTGACCCCTGTGCGTTTGACAGATGCACACTTAAAAAAAAATCTTTCTGGCGCCAAATGAAGGCCAAAAAACCTTCCATATTTTTCCTGTTACTGCAATCTGCAGTAACTGCAGTTACTGCAAATCTGATACTGCAAGAGCCATGGTTGCCAGTTTTCCCTTTTTCTGAGACTGTGTTTCCATGTAGCTCTCCCTGGCCGGCCTCCAACTTCCAGGCATCTGCCTACCACCTCCAGTGCTGGGATTCAAAGCCTTGTGCCACCTTTGCTAGGCCTACCAAAGCCCAACATGTTCGTTCTTCAGTATGCTGAAAACTCATAGGCCAGTTCATATTTGGTCTTTACCCAGTTCAGAAGTATGGTGAATGGCTTAGTGGAAGAATGCTTGCCTAGCAAGCAAACAATTCTCACTACCAAAACATGCACAAATCATGCTTGCCATTCCCCCAATAGGGAAGGAAAAGAGGTCATTAAAAATCCTTGGTTATACCAAAGTATCCCAATTTGCTGCAACAGCAACACAATTAAATTGCTACCGAACAATGGCACTTTAAGTGTAGCACAATGAGCCCCGGACACACCTCTCCTTCCACCCCATACATGACAGCACATCTGGATCACATTTTTGATCTTAGCTACACGTCATAACATACATCCTCACATCTTGGTCATCACCTTACAAACCAGTTTGGCTCAGAAGGACAAAAATCAAACAAAGTCTAGTTGGAAGAGGACAACTACACTGGATGTTGTAAAATCTTCAGATGAGCTAAAGATACTTCAATGGCCCTTTTTGCAATCCTCATGGCTCATTCTAGTTGAATTACAATAAACTATTCTTTATTATCCCAGCAATTTCTAGGGAAAACGGCCTACTTAGACTACACCATCTCTGTGGTTCATGATTTATAACAATTCATGTCCTGTTACAGTACACTCTGAAATATTTACAATATGATAGATTAAAGCAGAGAGGAAATCACAGCAAAAGAAAACCTATGTCCTCTTGTGGGTTGTAAGAGCATATGCACAACCATATGGGAGACAACCAGCCTCCCCCTTCATATATATTTTTTATTTTCTTATCATACCTTCCCAAAACAGAGACATTCAACAGTAGTTAGAATGGCAATCTCCCAACATTTTAAAAAGCTGCATCACCCAGTGGGTGAACAAAGAAGAGTGGCAACCTAGAGTTCAGCTGAGTCAGCCACTGTGGAGCCTTTAGTGGTGAGGTCTTCCAACTTCAAAGTGATGTGTCTTCAACGTATACCATCATTTTAGTGGAAAAACAATTAATTTTGGTGAAATGAGACTCATTTCCAAACAGGATTAGTAACAGCATTCACTGAGTTTCACACTCTTCTTTGTGAACTGTGAAGAAAATGAATGGTAGCTAGAAGATCAATGGATTCCAGCTCCAGCTGCACATGGGACAACACACCAGAACAAAAACATCTCTATATTCTGATTCACAAAGCTAACAGCAGTTTTAAACCGGCAACTTAATTACAGACCAATGACACCACAACCTTTCCAAATGGCAAAAATACAAAAAAGTGTTACAAAAATATTTCAGAAAAAGTGCATAGTCTAAGTGCATAGTAAATAAAAGCACTGAAAAATATCTTGCTAGAGAGGGAGTTCAGCCTAGAAAGTTATGACCAGAGCTGAACAGTTTTATCTTACACAAACTACTCAAAAATAGCTTTATGAGACTGATTTCTGGCTAAAAGTATCAAAGGGTTTATTAATCAAGAAACAAATACCTCAACTGACAAGTATGATTTGAGAAGAAACAGAAGCTGCCACCCACCATCTCCACCTAAGACTTCAGCTTTATGGTACTAATACATACATCTCTTGATGACAGAATGTGGCAATCATGGAATTAATTATTGCTGTTCAAATTAAAGAAAACCACAACAAACCAATCCGGACAATCTTAACCAAACATGTCAATTTACAATTCCAGATTATTATACAAAACACCTACAGTTATACAGTAAGCTCCTGGCAGCATTTTCAGACAAATGATCTTTTAATTTATCCTGACATGCTGTAAATGAATAAATTACACCATATAAAGAATTACTGTCAGTAAGTTTCCCCTTAGTTTGGATCAGAGACTGGGAAGAAGCATGGGGAACAAGTATGGGGTTGGAGGGCCAGCATCACCAACCTCACTGTGTGACACTCCTACAGCCATTTCACAAGGAAGTATTTTGTGATATAGTTATTAAACCCTTTAACACTTTCACTCTTACTCAGAATCAGTCCATCTGCTAGTCAGTGGCAGCGGGAGTCAAGGCCAACGCAACGGCAGCTGCAGTACTGGGTATTGTGCCTGTGAGTCATTTTTTTAAAAAAAGGGAAAGTGCCTTTTTTCTCCTCCGATCAAGACAAAAAAATTTTTTTTGCAGCAAAGAAATATCATAGAACACATGGCTTGAAGTAGTCTATTATAAAAATTAGGGAAAGCTGGGCATGGTAGCTCATGGACTTCAGGGAGGCAGAGTGAGGTGGGTCCCTGTGAGTTCTAGGCCAGCCTGATCTATACAGTGAGTTCCAGGCCAGCCAGAGCTTTAAACGAGACCCTGTCTCAAAACAAAAAATGGGGCGATATATTTCATGTTGAGTCAGCAAGGCATTTTGTTGTTTAAAAAAAAAATTTTCACTTCCTTACAGAAACAGTTTTTAGTTTTTAATGAACTTGTAAACAAAAAGCTCCCATGTCAAAATAAAAACAAAATCCCAGATCATATAGATGTTTACAGTGATTACATTTATCTAAGCAACACACATACATGTTCAGTTGTAAGACGGTAACTAAATTTGTGACAAATATGCTTTCTTAATAGCAAGAACATTATAGAGTTAATGCAGAGTCCTAAGGATAATCTAGTAGTCGCTATGTTTTTTTCTTAAGTCTTCACTTTAGATGCTGTTATTTCTAGCACAGGTAAGCAGGCAGAGTCTTTCAAATGCTCAAACACTGGAATCTTTGGTTGCTACCATATCAGCTGGCTTGCAAACAAGAAGCCAGCCATAAAAGAATGTTTTAAGTTAACAACTTGCAAACCCCAGGGATGGAAAACCCTAAGAACACACAATTGTGAACATTTACAATCATCACAACTGTGGCTGAAGACTGTTCATGCCGTTCTTCTGAAATGATATCTCAAAGCAGTCTAGTTCAAAATAAAAGGTTTTAACAAAAAATTGGCATATGCACAATTTCTCCAATTCGTGTGTCAACCATTTAGTTAACTTTTCCACTTGAAAAAAAAAATGCAATAGAAAACCAGACACCATTTTCACTACCTCAGTTAATATTCACAATTACAGCGGCTATAGCTCAGGATCAGCATCAGCAATGCTGCCCAGGGCCAGTTTACACTGAAATTAAGTTCTTTTACACCAAGTAAATGGTTGTCCACAACCACTGGCTAGTGTACATATGAACTAAAATGTCTAGTCTGGGGAGAAACAAATGCTGCTCCAATCATCTGCTCTGCTGCTTCTCTTCCTCAATTCATGCCTAGAAACCTATCAAAAAATGAAACAGAGAAAGGATGTTACAAGTTTTAAACATGTTTACAAGTACTCCCCCACATTAGGCAGAACTAGGACAATAATCATGTTTTAGTAGCTGTTGGTCTCATCTTGAAAATCACCAAGTTTAACCTTTCAAAGCAGAGTTCAGGACTCTAATTAAAGCCACAACCCCCCATGCTCCCACCCCGATCTAAATGACCGAGGAAGAAGTCTATAAAGCAATTAAAGCCTCAGCACCCAACTCTGAGCTAGAATGGCTGGCTAGTCATCCAAACAAGGATGACTAGTTCTTTTGGACCCAAAATAAACTTTTAGAAACCCAACAGGTAAATGAGAAACAGATGACATTACTGCAACTAGAGAATGGTTCCAACTAGCCCAGAAGCAGATTTCTGTGTACGTCATTTCTTATGGAGAAATAGTGCTAATGAATTCATTTAAGGAATAACTTTGTGTTATGCCTCCAAGAATAGCATTTCTATACAAAAACATCATACTGATCTTTATACTTCTTTACTTCCACTATTGCATTAAAAAGATCCCATCGCCTCATTGACTTATGAACTAGAAATGAGCAATACTGTCCTATCCTATCCTACTGTACAGTCCCCCCCACCCCCAACAAAATGGGAGTCATGGTTCTAATGGCTCAACACTGTGGCTGAAGACAGAATAAACATACCCACCCATTAATAACTTGAACATCCCATAAACAAGAGCTACTCTTGCCTATTCCCTTTCAAACTTGAAACAATCAAATTACATTTCTGACCATTTCTTAACTTCCTTAACAAAAATCAAAACCAAACAGCCACCACTACAGAAAAGTCATGTTTTTGTCAGCAATAAATTACTCCTTTCTCCTCCTTAAACATTAGTGGGATATTTCCTTTGGGGTTTGTGGTATTTATAAAATACTCCTAGTACTTATTCTTTATTAAAAATGTTTATAAGAATAAAACTGGAACGATATTATAAAGCACTTACACACATAATTTTTTGATACACATTCTTTCACCAGTTAACTAGAACAAGGGAGGAAAACCAGACATCCCTGTGTATTTAATATATATATCTATGCTTTGGAGGCAAAGATCCGTTCTTACTCCCCCTTTGCACAGTGTCTCCTAAGAGCAGGTATGTAACAAACACCAATCCCATAATCCTAAACATACAGAAAGCTAACACTAAACAAAGATGAAACAGCATTGGCAAACATAAAACCAAAAATGTGCTGTGCCCATGTGTTATTTTGTGTGTGTACACATACATGTGTGTAGGCACAGTTGTATGCAGGGTAGAGATTGAAATCAGGTGCTATCTTTCCCGATGGCAAGTCACCTTGCAGATACTAATGTGGGCCTTTTGCTGAAACTGAAGTTCACAATTTGTCTAGCTTGCTTTGGAGATATTGTCTCTGACTTCCAAGCACTGTGATTACAGGTGGACAACTATATCCACCCATCTTAAGGGTTTTGGAGAATTTGAATGCTGGTCCTCACCTCTCTAACCACAGTAAGGCCTACTTTAAAAGGCTACCAACCAAACTTTAATTCCACCTATAAACCCAACCATACCTGTGATCTAATTCCAATTTCACAGGCTAAGAAGCTATTAAAATGAAGAAATTATGGACTAGCTAAAACAAATGACCTTTACCCTATCAGTATTTGGCTTTAAGTATTAAAGTTATTCATAAATATTATAAAACCAAACATGGTTTTCTAGCTACTAAAGCTAGGGCTCCCCCCCCCCATTTTATAACGTGCTGTTATCACATGATTATATTTTAGTACTTTGTTACACCGAATATCCCTCCACATAGGTAGATCTGCATGGAAAATCAGTCACTAACAAACTAAGCCAAATACAAGACAACTTGGGTTTCTTTAATAACAGGGAAGTTTCAGGTCAGAAGTCTCTCTTTGTGGAACGGCTAGGTCAGTCTGTGGTTACAAATATTTAGGGATTGGTTGAAGGTTAGCCTAATAATATTCCCGGTAGAAAAAAGCAGTCAAATTCAGATTTGGTTCTTCAGCTAGACAGGCCAATAGCAGGCTGTTCTATGCAGACAGCATGCCGTAAATGAGCTCTTCTTTGATGGTACCCAAAGGAAAAACACCATAGCAGGTCTCCAACATTCAATTTCCAACTACTAATGAGCACTCTCTCTTCCAATGTGCTTTTTAGTCTTTTGCTTGTTTTTAAAATCTTGCAGTCTGGTTGACATTTTTTATTACAGAATACATCTTCACTGTGACATCAATCAAAATGAGAGATGAACCTGTTCCTATAGGAGAGGGAGAATGAAGATTATCACCAAAGTTGCAGAGTTAATGTTAACAATTCAGGAATTAAGCTACATTCAAGTTTCTCAAGTCTTCAGATAGAAAAAAAAAAAGTACTAATTTTATGCAACAATCATACTTTATCCCCGAAAAAAGAAACCTATAAGAAATGTATCTTTATTCATTATTTCACTTTAAATGTGGCCAGTTTTTAAAAAGATAGGGCCAGAATCCAATTTATACAGATATAGTTATGTTTTGAGACAGTTCCTCATGTATTGAAGGGTTACCATACAGTTAAAGGATGTTTATGCATTAATAAGGTTTATACATTTGTGGTGGGTGTTTGAAATTTAGGCTATTTCTATAGTATAATAACAAAACTTTTTAAGTTATTTTCAACTCAAGAATCAGCACACAATGTCACTTATATCAAGTAACTTTTCCTACAACATTCTTCTATGGTCTTGTGGTTATACAAAATTAAGCCAGGTGAATTTTGAATTAAGCTGCCAGTCTATATGAACCTGCTACATCCTACCAAACCAAAAGCCCAACTAATTATGCTCTACAAAAACAAAAATAAATTATTAAAGATGGAAGTAGTTTTTCATCACAAACTGGTAATTTATGTGTAACAGGTTCAACTCATTTCTGAATTAGACCAACAAACTAATGATCTGAATGAGTGTCTTCTCTACTCAGATTTCATTTTCTAACACCTTTTATAGTTGGTAAACTCAACATACCTGTTACAAAGGAACTGTCCCAATTGGCAGGTGCTAGGCATTACACAGCACTGAGGCTCAGCAATGCTGGCGTTTTCCAGGCCTTTCTGACAGCCATCACAGATCCAGATGCCCAAGGTTAGCAGCTCAGTGAGCCTTGGAGAGGTCTCTTGCATTGTCATCTTCATTTCTTGGATTGTGTCCATCTCTCAAACTTTACTGTCCACAATAAAAAAAGCTGATGGAAATTCCAGATTTGAGCAAAGGTTCACTTCCCTGGTTGGTCCTCTTTGGACTGAATGTATTCAGGGGTAGGCCAGTCTCTTCAGGTATCGCAAGGTCTTCCCTTCCCTGTTTTGGGTTAAGTTGCTGAATTATCAGCTGTGTTCCTGGCAGCAGTTGGTGACGTCAGAAAGGGTTAAGCTACAAATGGGCCCTGTAGCTGCTGGGGTCCACTGACACAGGTAGGTTAATGTGAGGGAAAACACTTCAAGTCTTTGAAGGCCATCATCTTCAACCACTCATATTGCAATAAAGCTATTTACTACTTGTGTCTGAGGTAATGAACAGTTAAAGACAGCTGGGGGGGGGGGGGGCAACACGGCGGCACCCTGGAAGAGATGGCTCAGCAGTTATCAGCACTGGCTGCTCTTCCAGAGGTCCCAAGTTTAATTCCTAGCACCACATGAGAGCTCAAAACTGTCTAACACCAGCTCCACGGGCTCTGACATTTTCACTTAGGCATATACAGGACAAAATACCAATGCAATAAAATAAAAATAAATTTTAAAAAATTGAGGACAGAAGGACAATAGAATCCCATGAGGATCTGCCTTCTAAATGAGCTAAGCTAAAATTCTCTACCTTGTCCATAACTAAAGAAACAGTATGTATATATACTTCTGAGAAGAGATCTCACAGCTCAAACTTGTCTTTCTATGGTCTCAGCTACAAAATTTAATCCCAGCATTTGGGAAGCATAAGTAGGTAGATCTGTGAGTTTGAGGCCCAGCCTGGTCTACAAAGCAAGTTCCTATCTCAAAAACCAAACCAAACCAAACAAACAAGAAAGAAGCACATACTCTAAATAAGCAAGGCCTGGAAGAACACTTGACACTCTCAGTGAGTGGCTAGAACTTTCTGTAATTTCTATGAAAGAAACATTTGCTTAAAAAATAACTGCCAAGATGCAAAACTCAAACCAAAAAAGAAACCCCAAATAACTTAAAAAAACAAAACAAAACAAAAAACATTTAGATCTTTCCAGAAGAGAACCTTTATGATCACTGAAGATTATGAAACTGAATTCATTGACATGTAAGCATCTGAGATTATGAGCAAAGAAAAAAGTTAAAATGTATTCTAAGAAATATTGTCTATATTTGGGGGAGGGGAATCTGTCCATTCGTCCATCCCTGGCAGCCTTCATCCTCAGAGATCTATCATACTGCCTCTTAGATGCTGGGATTAAAGGCATATGGCCACCGCCCAACCACTTCCTACAACTTCTGACCAGAGAGAAATAATGGTGTTCCATTATTGAAGAGGCCATGAAATCAAAAGCTGTGGGAGCAGAAACTGAGTCTATAGTTTTATACACCCCATTACTTAAGAGTTTAGATAAATAATAATTTACATAATGTGAGAGGCAGAGGGTCTAAGATCAGCTTTCTCATACTTTCATGCCACCCTTAAGGCAAATGCATTTTCTTGCAGATTTGTATATGTTCTGGACACTAATGTTACAGATATTTAAGAACTCTAAAGTTCAATCCTCTTATACTACTATATTCTGTATTGTGGCATAGCTTGTTGTACATCTGTGTGTGTGTGTGTGTGTGTGTGTGTGTGTGTGTGTGTGTGGTGGTGGTGGTGGTGGTGGTCAGGAGTCAATTCTGGTGGTTGTCCCTCTGATGTCTTTCGCTTTTTGGAGCTGGGGTCTTCCATTGGGACATGGAGTTCACCAATTAGTCTTAATCGGGCTGGCCAGGAAGCCCTGAGGTTTTGCCTATCTCCACCCAGCTAGGCTTACAAACAAATATCATTACACTTGCTAGCTTTGCTGCTGAGATAGGGTCTTAAGTCTCACTATGTTGAGATTGGCCTCAAACTCACAGAAATCTGCTTGTTTCTATGTCCAAGCACCAGAATTCAGATGTGCGCCACACCATGTCCAAGCCCTTGCTGGCTTTTAGAATGGAGATTCTAGGGACTGAACTCAGGTTCCCATTCTTACATAGCAAGCTCTTACCAACTTAGCTAACTTCCCAGCCCCAGATTAACACATCTTAGAAGAAAGCATTATTTTGCTCAAGGTAAAAAAAACCACTTCTTGGTAACTTATTCCACCCACCTACTCTGTGAGAAGGAACTCTTTTTATTGCCTAAGCTGGCCATTAACTCCTGAGAGCTCAAGCGATCCTCTTGTCTTGGCCTTGGGGTAGTTAAGACTATAAGCATTCACATCCCTGACCTGGCCTTAGAAATGTACCTTTGAAAGCAGCCAATAATAAGGCAATTATTTATTGAAAAATCTTGTATTTCAGAACATCACAAGTCCATGTACATGTAATAACTTGCACGACCAATGTGTCTAGTGATGCTTTTGTAAACTGTTTCAAGTTACTTTTATGAAAAAGTTACCATACAGAAGAAGGCTTAAACTTAAGTTTAATTGCTTTTCTTTTTCAAGAAAACATACTAACTCAGTGGATCCAACTTCTCGTCTTTAATACCTGGATAAAGCAGGACAAAAATTCTGCTTGTTTATTGAGTAAGAAACACATAGTAAACGAGAACAATAAAACTAGGTGAAAATTAAGATACTTCTTTCTGAAGGCTGCTGAATGCCTGAAGGAAAAAAAAAACTGTTCTAGGCCAGATGAGATTTCAATCTTAGTTTTAGAAGATGCAATTTGTGATGGATCCTATTATCCCAGCCAGCTTTTTTTTTTTTTTTTTTTTTTTTGGGGGGGGGGGCTTCATTTCATGAAAAAAAGGAAATATATTTTAGGTGTTGCTTAATATCTTAGTTGGCTGTATTTGCCTTCACTTCAACAATAAAACCACTTCTCATGAATACTTGTTTCCTACTTCAACACATGATTAGTTACACAATATTAAGAAACAAAAGAGGCATCAGAGTCCCAAATGAGATGCGGAAGCTGAACAGCCTGAGCAGCTCTATGCTCTTTAGCTCTAATCATCTAAAAACCCGCCTCTGCCAAATCTTCAACTTAATCCTTCCCAAATACAGAAAAAGAAAGGAAGCCCCTCAACTTTATACTGAGCCACTGGGATGAGGATGACATCAGTTCTTTTTATTTCTTCAAATGTTCCTTGGATACTAGAAACTTTTCTTTCTTCCTTAAAAAAAGACAGGGTCTTATGTAGCCCTGACTGTCCTGGAATTTACTCTGTAGACCAGGTAGGCCTTGAACCCAGAGATCTGCCTGCCTATGCCTCCCAAGTGCTAGGATTAAAGGCATTAGCCACCACACCTGGCCTAGAATCTAGTTTTAAATTAAAAAATTTAAATACAACACTAAAAATATAGAACAAATACTAGTATTTGAAAAACCACATTCAGACTAGAGCAGTCTTTCAGAAATAAAGTAACTAGAAACCCCAAACCAATGCTTGCCTGCCCACCATTTGCACAGAGCAAGCAGGTATCAGTAGGTAAAGTCCCAGAAAGGGAGACAACAGGGAAGCAGGAGTAGAACTCTAAGGCACCAGGTATAGGGAATGATGTGCTCTAACAGTTCTACCCCTCGAAGCACTCACGTGCCAGAGAGAGACAGAAACAGACTAGCAATTTAATGGCATTTGCCTCAGATATCTTCGACTGACAAGGTCTAACTAACTGCAGGCTTCAATTCTACATTAAATGAACCCTAGTGCCTAAACACCCTTAGCAAGTGAATAAAGCACTCCTCTTCTTAAGGAGCATCACAATATTAAAATCTGTCATAGCTCATTAGCAGAGAGAATTGATTATGATTTAGGAAGATATGCTGAGCTTTGCAGTTAACAAGGTGCTCTGCAATTAAGATAGACATGCTAGAGGCAACGCCAAGACTCACCTCTTAAATTAGATCATGTTCACATTTCCCCATTAATCGCTAAAGCATTAACATGCAAACAAAAATGTATAAATATCTTAACACAGTTAGTCTGAAAGTAAGTCAAAATACCATGGCTAACCAGATTCTGTATTAAAAAAAAAAAAAAAAAAAATCAACAAGTGTTAGGTCTAGGATTTTGGACTGATTGGCAATACCATATTCCCAACACCAAATGTTTATTTTGGAAAAGGGTTAATGAATGAGTAAAAAGATGCAGTTGTTAAAAATGACCCAAAATCCCAAGAGAAATGATATAATATACACACATATATGTATATACAAATACATATATATGAACAAGGACATTTGGGTTTAAAGTTAGTAGTCAAATTTTCCAAGGACGTCTTTTTTTTTTTTTTTAAATACAAAGCCAAATTTTATGAGTTTTAAAACCACCTCCTTGATCTAACACTGTTAGAAATGAATAAATTACCCAATTTGTATTTAATTTTTTTCCCTGTAACGTCACTTGGTTCTTGGCTACTAACCTTTCATGTTACTCTTGGTTTTGTCAGTTTGCTTGCCTGTGGGGGTTTGGGCCTGCTGACCCTGCCCACTGGAAGAGGCTGCCTGCTGTGCCGCTTTCTGCTTTAACATTGTCCAATCAAATGTGTAGTCATATTGGTGGTTCAGGGTCCTGAAAAATAAAGTGCCATGTTACCTTTAATAATATTGTCCAGCTAAATATCCTACTAACTTTTCAAGACAGCCAAGGGCATTTCTTTTCCCATTATATAGTCTGGTCAACATATTAGGACCCTGCCTAAAAACCAAACAAAATCAAAACACCAATTTCTACAAAGGGACATACTAGGAATGAAAACATAAGCAACTACAGTGGGCCAAGCTGTCAATTACCCTGAAACTCATTTAGAACCTCCTAAGGTAGCATGTATAGAACTGGCAGCTTGTGAGGGAGATGGTGCTGGTACCTCAGGACATCATTTCTGGGACTAATGGATTACTTGCTGTTTTAAGAATTTCAAACATGGGCACAACTAGCTCCCAATCCTTCTACCTCTATCTCCTATGTGCTGGAGTCTGGTATAACTGGCAGATTCTGTAGTTTAATGTACCTCCCTCCTTTTTGGGGAGGATCACACATAATCTCAAGACAAGGTTTTTTTGTATAGCCCTGGCAGGCCTGGAACCCAAAGTTCTGCATCTGCCTATTCCCCAAGCGCTGGGATTAAAGACATGTGCCATCACACCTAGCTTTAAATTAAATGCCTTTTTAATTTGATACTGCATACAATTCTGTACCACGGAAATTATTATTTAAAAAAATTTCAAACCTCATTTACTTCTAAAATTTATTTGAGATTAATGTAATTACATAATTTCTCCCTTTTTCCTTCCAAATATGCCTATATATTCCTCCTTGCTTTAAAAAAAATGCATGACCATTTTTCAAGAAGTATTGTTATCTCCCCAAACCCCCACTCTCATGCCCTCAGTATATGCATGCATCACTGTGTATGTTTCAGGTCAGGGCTGACCACTTGGTATCAGATAACCAATCAGTATGCTCTTCTGCTGTCAGCAATCCTTAGTTTAAGTGGTCACGCTGGTGAGATTTTTATGGGTGTAGCTCCTGACATTCCTAGGATATAGTCTCATAGCCTGTGGACTTCCCCACCCAGCCTTAAATTCAGTTGTTATTCTGTAGATGCAACCATTAGAACAGGGCAAAATTATTCTTAATTATGTACATGTAAACATACACAGAGATGGTGGTGGTGGGGGTCCTACACAGTAGTGCAGGTGTCCATGGAGGGCAGAGGTATGTGGTCCTGGGGAGCTACAGGTGGTTATGATTTGCCCAATGTGAGTGGGGGAACAAAATCTGAGTTGTCTACAAGAGCAGTGTGCCCTCCCTCTAAAGCCATGGATCAGCCTCTGCAGCCACTCACAGCCTAATAACCGACCTGAAAAGGATGCGGAATAGCTGCCTCAGATACATGTAATCCGGAGCTTCTTCAAAGCGCAGCCCACGACAGTAATTTAAGTACATGGCAAATTCTGCAGGAAACCCCTATCAATTCAACAGTTGAAATGAGTGAAAAACAAAAACACCAAGTTAGGAAAAATGAAGTTTTGAAATACAACCACAAAGAAACATGTAATGTTTTTTTCAGTACTCTGTAGGAAGCTATGACTAAGACACCCATAGCCTGGTTTTCTCATAAATTTAAGCTGAAACTCATCACCTACTCAAGCTATTGTCACTTGGGAAGGACCCTCAAAGGAGAAAATGCCCCCCCACCCAGATTGGCTCATGGGGCATTTTCTTCATTAATGATTGTTGTGGTAAGGCCTTCTCACTCGGGATGGTGCCAGCCCTGGGGAGCAAGCCAGTAAGCAGCAGCCCTCCATTGGCCTCTGCTTCAGTTCCTTACTTCAGGTTCCAACTTGAATTCAATGTGGCCTAGTCCCAAGAGGAAGTAAACCTTTCTCTCAGTTGCTGTTAGTCATAGTGTTACATCATAACAGAAACCCTAAGACAACTTCGGAAGAAACCATCCTTTTCTATAGAACAATTCAGAACTTTCTCTGAGGACAATAACAAAGATAACTGGTTTTTTTCTCTTACTAGGATGATTTCCACTACATCATCAGAAGTCTTTCTGATAGTGCACGATTTGCTTTTTTATTAACAGGACTACTTATTACTTTCCGTATGCACTGTGTCTGTGTGCGCGCTTGCGTGACTACTTTGTGCTTGGTGCCCAGAGAGGACAAAGTCTAGAGCTGGAGTTACTAGTGGTTAAAACCATTCAATGTGGGTGCTAGGGATTGACCTTGCACCTCCTGGAAGCAGCAGCAAATACTATTTTGGTTTGCTTTTTGAGACAGGATCTCTACATAACCCTGGCAGTCCTGAACTCCTGACTCTGCGTCTGGAATGGTGGGATTAAAAGGTACAAGGGCAACACCACACCAAGCTCGGCACAAGGTCTTGACCATGGAACCCCATCTCTCCAGCCCATAGCTTTATTTACTTAGACAGGGTCTTACTACCTGAAGTTTCCCAAGTTCTAGGATTAAAGGTGTATACACCACCACACCTGGTCATGTGAATTTTTCTTAAATATTCATCATAACACCGACCTTACACAAAACTTCAACAGGAGTGGACATCTTCTTTTCACTAATCTTTTCATATTTTTGTTTCTTTGTTGCAGCCTGTAAAAAATGAGGAGTGCAAGGGTAGATTTAATACTTAGGGAGGTGCAGCAGCTGCGCTCTAGACACAACACACACTAGAGATTCAGTATGTGAGAGCTAACATAGCATCAAGTCCATACTGGGTAATGCTACTCACCAAAGAACTGAGCATTTTACTGTCTTCCTCTAAAGCTTCAAAATAGCTATTAACTCCACAGCACAGATTTATTAATATACACTCAAAAGCCAACCTGTGCTTCCAACTAGATCAGACTAGTTGCCACCAATGAGTACCAGCATAAGAACATTAGCTTCATGTTTAACAACTGCTTAACAATTACTTCTTACTGAAATGGTTAACCTTCCAAATTAAAGACAAAAGCAAATTAATTTTGGCAGAAACTCAGATTTGGAAAATACTTAAAGACACCTTCCACAGTGCTTATTTTCTCTTCTTCTCACCCTTTCACGGCTCCCTCCCTCCCAAGATGGCAGGGCTCTTGTCTTAAAACAACCTAGGTTGCTCTTAATCTACTGGGCCCACATCTCACTCCAAGTTCTGGGATCATCTGTCTCATATTCTTCCTTCAAATAAGATAAACAAAAACAATCTCCAGTAAATTGAGCTTGATTTACCTTTAGCCCTTGCCATGGCAGACTGGTTCTATTAAAATACATCAAAACATATCCTAAAGATTCCATGTCGTCTCGGCGACTAGAAAAGAGAATGTTATTTTATGAACCAGATATTGGGGAAATATGAAAACTAAGTACTATACATAAAAGAAAAAACAACCACAAGTGAAGATAAAGAATATTTGGTGTCTTTCAAAATTAATAAAGTTCAAAAAACAGGTTGATTAACCACCTACAAGATTGTCAGAGAATTTTTTTAAAAGACCAACAATACAGCTAGATAACTCTCTAAAGGCTAATAAATAAATAACAAAAAACTAGCAAGAGAGCCAAGTGGTGGTGGGGCGCACTGGGGAGGCAGAGGCAGGCAGGATATCTGGAGTTCAAGGCCAGCCTGGTGTTCTACAGAGCTAGTTCCAGGACAGGCTCCAAAGCGATACATAGAAACCCTGTGTGTCATGTGTGTTGGGGGGATAGGGTGGGGGGAGATATAAAACTATTAAAAGATGTCTTTTTAACTCCCAAAGACCATCTAGAGATGCTTAAACAACTGAAAAGGCCAAGCTCACAAGTGTATACACACTAAACACATACACTAAGAAATATATCCAGTGGCAGGGCATACCTTTTTCTGGGGTATTATTTAAGATGAATAAAATGAATGCAGTAATAGTACATTTCAGAGTATTCAGAAATTTATTATTTCTATTCCTACATTCAATTACTCCTAACCCAAAGACAGCACTTTTTGCTCTGTTTCTCTTAGGGGGAAAAGCTACCCAAAACTTGAAGGGGACTTGGAAAAAAACAAACATCAAGCGCAGAAATAGGAGACATAGAGTTCATCATCTACCAACACATTTTTGGTTTATTAAGAATCTCATAATTTTTAATTTGTTTGTTCTGAGACTTACTTCAAACTTGGAAGCAACACCGTCACAGACTACCAAGTGGTGGGATTACAGGCATGAGCCACTAAACTCACTTTTCATATGTTTTTTTCCCCTTGTAAAATTGACTCATGGATCCCTAGCACCTCTGGAACTCAAATTCTGAAACTCAAGTTGTTGAAATAGGATCCAAGAAGAGTCTAATTCAAAATGCTTTTGAGAAAACTCCAATAAAACAAGAGTCATGTGACCTAAGTTTCTTCAAAAACTTGGCATTGTTCTGGAATGTGCTTTCCTGCCCCTCCTAGGTGTAGGGGGTAGGAGTTTAGACTATTCTGACAACTGGCCATTGTTGTTTCTGTGCTATACATTTATTTGCCATGTGGAGCTTGTGCTGCTTGTCCATTTGACTGACTGACTGTACACTTTACTCAGGTGACTCTTTTTAACCCTCAGAACAAATTCTCTGATGCTCTGAATAAAGTTGGCTATTGCGTGATACATTAGTTTGCCTTGGTTTTAGGATCCATCCTTTCCAGGTTCACACTGCCCACTAAAGTGGTGATAAGGACAAGCCATAATACTAAAATATGCATTGCCTAAGATCAGCACTAAAAAGTAGTTATTATGTTAAACTACTAAGAGATGTGAAAATACTAATTATGTTTCCAACTTTTACATTTAACAGGCCTTTGTTTGACCATTCCTTTCTTTTTTAGATAGGGTCTCACAATATGGGCCTGTTAATCTAGTACTGGCCATATAGACCAGAATGGCCCTGAATTCTTCATAATCCTTCTGCTTCAGCCTCCCAGTGCTAGCTAAGATGTCAGGTATGTGTCACCATACCTGACATTTAACTTTCTATCCCAGAGACAACTTTCAAGACAGAAAATAAAAAGTCCCATTAATTTATTTGGCTTCTCTGTACCAGTTAAAAGCAAAAGGTACGGGGGCTAGAGAGATGGCACAGAGGTTAAGAGTACTGGTTATTCTTCCAAAGGTCCTGAGTTCAATTCCCAGCAACCACATGGTGGCTCACAGCCATCTGTAATCAGGTCTGGTGCCCTCTTCTGGTGTTGAAGCAGACATGTAAGCAGAGCATTGTAAACACAATAAATCTTTAAAAAAAAAAAAAGCAAAAGGTACAACAATAAGCAATTTCTTAGTCCTCAGCCAAGAAGCAAGCACCCTTAAGACACTAAGAAACTTTAATACAAACAAACTTAAGAAAAGCCATCAATTGCTTGCTTCCATTATGGATTTGATAAGACTCACCTCTGCTCAATACCAAGATGTGCATTGATGCTAGCATATCGGGCAGTGCCAGTGAGGTTTTTATCTTCTCTGTACGGTATGTGTTGCCTTGTCCTGTTGTCTCTGTACTTTTTGGCCAAACCAAAATCAATAAGGAATAACTTTAAAAGAAAAACAAAGAGACATTAGGTTTCTAACCTTATTCAAATAAACAGGTTCTTACTCTTTAGTACATTAAGCCTTTACTACTCTTCACAAGTAACCCTCCCTATCACCATTATACCTAGTAATTTATCCTCATTTATTAACGTCATCTGTTCAGTTCTTACACACATAGTAGCCTGTCTTCACACAGTAAGTGTGTATGTATGTATATATATATATATCCCAAGGCAGAATTGTCAAGTATGTTGTTTACCACATGAAATTTGACAGCCTGATTTTATGGATATAACAAGCAAGTTTCAAAATCTGTGCACAGCTTTCTGGGACTCTTCTCTCCCAGATGCCACTCTTCAGTATGTTAGTAAAAAGCTAATTAATTTAAATAACAATCCTCAAAGTCTGATATAAAAATAAACCATTTTAAGATAATAATAATAAAAAAGCAACAGCATGCATTACATTGCTTTATAAGATATCTGAAATATATAGAATGTAATCCAAAATAAAAGCACAGCCTTTAAATTAAGGTGGCTTACAAAATTATCTGCTTAGTTGCATATAATCTATGTGGGAGCCAGGGAATAAAGTACTAACAGCACATTTTCCTAAATAATTCAAATCTGACCTAAATTTTTTTTTTCTGACAAAAAAGGTTAACAAAATTCATTCCTGTTTACCAAGATATTTGAAGTTTTAACTTTTATACAACCCCTCCTACTTACCACACTATGTTGTAATAATGAAATCTTATTGCCAACATTAACAAACTGGACACATCTATCTGTGTGCACATAGAACAGGTAAGACTATTGTGTCTCTTCTAATTATACCTGCACTTTATTATTCTGCTTAACTATGGGGTCTCTTCTACCAGTGTGGAATTTGTGATGTTTTAGGAAATTCATAATCTCTTAAAACTCATGTACAAGTAAACAAAACCATCTACTCATGTGAAGGTCAGCCAGGGGTGGAAGCACAGGCCTTTAATTCCTGTATATGGGAGACAAAGGCAGGCAGATCTCTTCTTTCAAGGCCAGCCTAGCCTGGTTTACAAGAAGGGTTCCAGGCTAGGCAGGATTACCGACTGAGAGTTTCAACAAACAAAACAAACCCTGTTTCTGCCAGCTATTATGCCCATACTTTCATTTGGTCTATTATAAAGATTGACTAAATCACTAATGAGGAATAGATTGGAAAATAAAAACTCTGCTAATCTAGTTATTAAGCTCCCTAAGCAATCAAGGTACTGAGGAATATGGGAAAGTATTTTAGTACATAGAGCTCACACTGCACATTCTTCTTATATGAAAACCAGCATCAGTATACTAATAGTAAACGAGCATACAGTTCTTCTGAATGACACTGAAAACAGAAAACCTAATTAACAAAGAAAACTCAGCTTCATAGCACTGAAAACAATTCCTAGCTCATGGAATATCTTGGATTACTCCTTTCAGTTTTTCAAAGGGGACCTGTGCTAATGTGGATTATGTCTGACAGCTGCTACTCAAAGCTAAATCTCCATTTACAACTCATTAAGCAGATACTGCGTAAACAACCAAAGATAGATTCAAGAAACTCAGCATTTAAATTATTTCCTTAAAACGAGGAAACTATTAAATTCAAATAAAAAAGTAATGAACAAGCAAAAGAAAAAAACCAACTCAAGCTAATTACTAGCTCCTCAAATGTTCCAATCATTAATAAGAAACTAAATAGAGAACAAAATAAGGAAAGTCAGTACAAAAAAAAAAAAAAAAAAGTCAGTACCAATTAAGCAATAAGGATTGCACCTGCAAAGGCACAGGCAATTTTCATTACTGGGACAAGCTACTTTTCTGAGAACTTGCATTAATTAATTTGCAATCTAACTAGCTTGTATAATACAAACAAAATATTAAAACATCTAGATTATCAAGTTGTTATGCTACAAAATGTGAGCAAACTAAACACGTGGATGGGTAAATAAAAATGAGGCTATTAAGTTTTTAAACTTGTTTCCTCTAATAATTAACTCATGCATTCTTCCCCCAATCAGATTCAGCCACAGCAGTAAGCTCTTTATGGGTTATCTGGAACTCCCTACTTAACTAGCTCTGGCCTGGAATTTGCTGTGATCCTCCTCTTGCCAGATTACAGGAATGTACTGCCACGCTCAACCCAATAGTTGGCCTTTTTTTTTTTTTTTTTTTTTTTGAGATAAGGTAACTCTGAGTATCTGAAACCTGAAACCTTTTGAACAGGAAGACTGTGCCCCTAGACAGTATTGAAAACATAAAAACAAACCTGGGGTAGTGTAAAAAAAAAATAAATGAAAGGTAATTTAGTTTTGATTCAACATTGTGTATTTCTCCATTTCATGGCTATTTATGCCAATGCCGACTTCTCAGAGTACATGGTTATAAAACACTATAGACATCTTGGTTCCAGAAGCACCAAAATTCACATCCTAAAGTAAATGGTCCTTTGTCTATAAAAATTCTTATTGGGTCAGGTGTGGTGGCATACATCTTCCATTTCATCCCAGTACTTGGAGGCATAGGTAGGTGAATAAATAGGATGGCTCAGAGTTTGAGGCCAACCTGATCTACATACCAAGTTCCAGGCTAACTAGGGCTGGAGACCATGCCTCAAAACAAAACTAAAATCACGGTGGGGCTGCCCTCGGGGGCAGGGCTACAGGTTCCAGCAAAGCAAAAGAAAATGTAAAGTGATTCAATTACTAGGTTGTTCAGCCTGCCCAAATCTCAATCAGGTCATATATTCAGTTATCTTCCTGTGACTAATGGCCACTGACCATTTAGTTTGTTTTTTCCTTAAATTGTCACTGTTCTGCTAAGAATACAATGTCTTCTAGTCTAGAGCATAGAATGCTCTTCAAGCAACCATTTGAAAGCTAAGAACTGACATCCTGATTAATCAAGTTTGAGAAATACTAGGTGTGAAATGTGACCTATACTTACCTGAGGTTCTTAGTGAAGGAGAGGAAAGTACAGCAGAGCATAACCACTGCAGCTCATAAGACTTAACAGCGTTAAAGCTCTAATATACATTTTTAAAGCTAGTTTATCTCAAAAGTTTATGTAAAGTAAAGGCTCCAATACTAAACTAACAGCATTTCCTCATGTCAGTTAGTAATCTAAAACAAAGACAATATTCTATTTTTATTTTTTTCTCTAAGCTTTAAAAGTTTTAAGCAAAAGCCACAAAAATATACCTTAGTAATGTTACATGTTTGCCAAGTATGTCTGAATAATGCCAACGTAAGAGGTGCTTGAGCAAGATCTATACTCTCCAGAATTAATTAAAAGTAATTAAAACAAAACAATAAGAAAGAAAAGCACATGAATTTGGGGTTGAGGTTGGAATAGGAGACAGTTTCAGACCTGGTTTAATCCTGAGAAAGATGGGTCCTGAGAAGGACTAACAGTCATGCTTCTTTTCCTCTTCCCCACTGGAGATTCTAAACACTGAACAGACAATAGAGGTGGCAGCGCATCAAACAGTATTGCGTACATTGCAACAATGGCCGGCGCAGACAGGCAACACCGAGGCATTAGAGAAAGAACAGGGTAGCCAAATGCCATCCTTCTTCCATCAAGCACTGTAGCTTCTCAGTTTTCCAAATAAAAACCACGTGCTCAAGAACACTGAACTCTACAATGTTTTTAATGCCACTATGATCGTGTCACTGCCTGAAACAGGGATAGTAATGGTGACATTTGGCTCTTTAATTTTGAAATAAAAAACGGGGAATTTGGATCTGCAATCTTAGATATCACAATCTGCCCTTCCCCCAAAAAAAGAACGTAAGGGGGTGGGGGGAGAGGAATCTTCAGTAAGGAAGAGGTAGAAGGCATTTAGTCACCTTAAAATTTATTTTAAAAGCATGCAGGGCTGATTTCTGGAAGAGATGAGCAAATTCACTAAGATTGGAGTGACTACTCCTAAATATCAAATTCAGAACAATTTCCAAGTAAGAAATTTAACTTCAAAAGCCAAACTTGGAAGCTGCCCCACCCCATGAAGCCTAAGCCTGATCCCTGTGGATACAATCTATTGGTACAAGCTGACTGAAGGAGCCAGTCTTACACAATGGGCACTTTCAAACTACAGTACAGAAAACACAAAAAAAAAAAAAAAAAAAAAAAAAAAAACAACTACAGAAAGCAAACACTAAAGTGTTCAAGAGAAACATTTATATTTGAATCATAATGAAACACTTCACGTCTCTCTGAAAACTTCTGATCTCTCTGAAAACTGCTCCACGTAAGCAGTGTCATAAAATCTATTTACTATCTGTACAGAGGAAACAGATTCCAAAAAAGGAACATGGACTTTCCAAGACATCTATGTGATTAAATGAACTATTCATAAGAAGGGGGTAGGGAATTCGAAGTGTTACTTTCTAGGCCACTGTTTAAAGTGCAGGCAAAAACCATGTACTTACTGCTCTGTCACTATGCAGAACAGGGATCACATGGGGATAATGGGTGTTTAAGGGTAAGAAAATAGGAAGGAGAGGCTGGAAAATGGCCAAAAGAAGAGTCAAACTGGCAAAACTGCACCAGAAAAAATTAAGAACAAAAAAAAATTTTTTTCCTAACCAATTACCAGGTTTTAGAATAACTAAGAACCTGGATGCTTCAAAGAGAGAAGCAACATTTCTTTAAATGCAATTTGGAATGCAAGATACTTAATTAGAATGCTGAAAACCCTTCAATATATGAAGTTAGGTGAAAAATCTTATTTCCTAAAACTTGGTCAGACCAACATTAATCTCTCACATTAACAAGCAACACCAGTTCTAATATAATGGCTCCAAGTTGGCATTCATACAGGCAAACAAAGGTAAACATTTACAGCTAGATCTAAAACACCACACTCCCTGATTAACAAATGGGAAGTTTTCTTCCCCTCCCCCCAAAACAAAAAACAAAACCCACCCCCTCTCCCCCAGTTGTCCTGAAGTTGAGAATTTCTGAGATCAGATGAACATGCTTTGTGCATTGCCAATGCTGCCTGTCTGCCCGAGCTCAACACTGAATGAATAAAGAAAGCAATTCACTCAATAAAACTAAGCATTGCAGACAAAATTTCAATATAATTAGCTTCTAACTGCAATCATGCGTCACTACAACCTAATCACTCCGAATATGGAACCCATTGTCAGAAACCCCCAATAAGCACTCATTCTACTATAGGAATGTTCAATCACTGGTCAGTGTTTTCCTGTAACAGCATGGAGGAGGGGTGTAGAACTCACCCAAGTGGGAACCCAAGTAATAAACTGTAAGCTACTTTTGAAGCAGGCCCCAAAATTTACTTTTAAATACACCAATCCAAGGACTGAAGAATTTACAGTTATCAACCATGCTCTGTGAGCAAGGGTTAACGCCATAGTGACAGATGGATCAGTGGTTGCCATACTGCCACAAGCACACGTGTTACAAAATCCAAACTAAGGTTAATAAAGTCTGGTTTACACCATTCAGGAAGGATTATATGTAAATGTTTTCACTATTTAAGTGAATGAAAACTAGACACAATTGTCCAAGTTAAATATAGATGATTAAAACTCATTTTAAAAAGCCCTTGGAATTTTATATTTTCATATAAATTAACCTTGGTTGGATAAGTTGGAGAGAATATATTTCAAGTTACTAAGTTAATAGAGTTAGCTGATTATCCTAGCACAATCTCTTAAGCAGATTACAGCAAATTCAAAGATTCAAAAGTTTATCAAAGCAATTTGTTTTATTATTTATTCTGTGTTCTTTCATGCAAAGAGCTTTTAACTAACCTTATTACAGTGACGCCCAATACCCATTAGGAAGTTATCTGGTTTTATGTCTCTGTGTATAAAATTCTTTGTATGCACATATTCAATTCTACTGATCATCTGAAAAAGAAAAAGGGTAAAAATAGTAAGTGATAAAAGCAACTAATAATTTCTCAAGTACTCCAATCTTTCAATTATTTATAATCTATGACAGCACTACAAATAAATGATAGAAAAAAGCCCTTTATTTCAAGCTTGCTGGCTATCAAGGCCTAACTTCTATGGCTTTTGGCCTGTTCTGCTAGTATGAATGACTAAAAACTTGGTGGTACTCAACTGTAGGCCTAGCATTCGCATTCAGGAGGCAAAGGCAAATGGATCTCTATGGGTTCAAGAACAAACTGATCTACATAATGAGAAAAAATAATTGCTAAGGGCTATATTGCAAGAAAGTCCTTAGCAATTTTCTTGAATCTTTCTTTTTGACTTTAAGCTCCTAGAAGGTCTACTTTGTTTTCCCCAGTGGTAAACCTAGGGAGTTTGAAGCCAGGTTGGGCCACGAAAAAGGCAAAGTTTAGGCTCCTCTAAAATGTCCTAGTGTTGCTTCAATGGCATTAATGCTCCAAACTATTACTTTAAGCATCAATTTGGCTAAAGATTCATCTTTAGTTGCCCTGGTACCTTCTTATTGTTATTATTATTATTTTAAATAGTTCTTTGCTGTTGTTCTTTATTCACCTGAGACAGGATCTTGTATGAAGCCCAGGTTGGCCCTGAATTGGTAACCCCTCTTCAGTCTCCCAAATGATGGGATTCGAAGAGTCTATATGCCACCACCAACAGTAAAATACAGGATACTGCATGCAATAGTTTATTTCCAGAGGAACTATTTTAAAACACAGCTGAACAAATACCCTACTACTGTAGGACAACAAATAATCCTTTTATGTTTTTTGAAAAGAGTTATAATATTTTGATCTATGAAATGCTGATATTATATAAACTTTTCTCAGTTTGTAATTTTTCTCAAAAGTTCACACACCTGGTCAGCTAACATAAGTACAGTCTTCATAGTGAACCTTCTTGAACAGAAATTGAAGAGATCTTCAAGGCTGGGCCCCAGAAGATCCATGACTAGCACATTATAGTCTTTTTCTTGTCCATACCACCTAACAAAACAAGAAAGCAAGAGTCAATGCAAAACCATTATTACTTAATAGCTTAAAATATAAACTCTTAGGGTTACAACCTACTCCTTAGGTATGGTAGCTCACACCTATAATCTCAGTGTTTGGGAGACTAAGGGCTGTTGAATTTTAAGCCATGCTCAGTCAGATAGGAAGAATCTGTCTCAAAAAAAAAAAAAAAAAGACATTTACATTTTTTATTTAAAGGAACCTTTTCTCTAGTCACAGACAAACCCAGTGATTAAGTACAGTGCTCAAAAGAGTAAATAACTACTCCCACCAACATAACTCAATTTTATAACCATCTGCATCATTTCCAGACCCTGGACAAACTTTGTAACGGAAGAAACAACTCCAGCCATCCCACAATACTTAAGAAAGACCTCTTATCATTAGCTCCCAACTCCCTCCATACCCAACCAAACTTCAATTATTTGTCCTTCCTTGAAAAGGAATCACATTTTTGCTTATGCTTAGTATTACAAGAGTAGCATTGGCTGGGCAGTGGTTGCACTCACTCAGTGAGTTCAAGGCCAGCCTGGTCTTTAAGGTGAGTTCCAGGACAGGCTCCAAAGCTACACGGGGAAACCCCATGTACAAAAACAAACAAAAAAAGTAGTCATCAACACACATAATCATATTTATCTGTTCATGAAAAAAAATTTTAACTATCCTGTGTTATATTGTACATAAATAAAAATTTCCCTCAATAATGCAAATGTTAATTTCTCTTTTTGAAAGATAAAACCTGCATCAAAGGCATAACACATCATAATGTTGGCTATGCTTGTAACTTTAGTAACCAGGAACCTGAGGCAAAGTTTGAGGCCAGCCTAAACTATATATAGGATGAGATGAGATCCCATCTAAGACCAAAAACAATACTAAATATCAGTCTCTGGGTTAATCATTTTAATTCTATTTCTTCTTTACAATTTTGCTCAAATATGCTGTTCTGCTGATAAACAGAACTGCTTCTAAAACATCAGTATTAACACAGAATATAAAGATTTTCCTAGAAAATATTATATAATGTGCTACGCTCATTTTTGTTGTTTTGTGGTAGCCCTGACTGTCCTGGAACTTAGAGATCCATTTGCCTCTGCCTATTGGCTAGGATTAAAAATATGTACTATCGCTGCCCAGGTAATATTTCTTTTTTTCTTTCCTTCCTTCTTTAAAGTTGTTTATTTTAACCAGTGGTCCCAGATACACAATCCTATTATCCCTTTAATGCCATCCATCAAAACTGCAGGGGATTTCAAATGTGATATTCAAGAGAAATACTGGCTCTAATTTCAGACCTTGACTGACAAAAGCCTATATTTAGTTATATCAATTTGCTCCCAAAATCTTGGTAGGTCAAAGATCATTAAGCATATGATTATATAGTATCAATAAACATATACTACATACATAGAATATCATCAAACATACATTTGTATGAAAACGAGGTCCAACAGTGGCAGGTCTGTTACGGAGCTAACTATATGCACTTTCTGTCTGGATTTGAAGCTAGCTCCACAGGAAGGAACCCACATCTGGTACTGTAAACTTGGCTAAGTCTGTGGCTGGGGAACAAATTCATAGGCCCCAGTGGGGGAAGCTTCCATTATTCCACTGCTAACTGGACACTGTGCCTAACTAATGCCTTCTAAATATTTTTGTTTATGCCCACACACCAAAGTTTTCGGCTGTGGTTACAGAGGATTCTTTTGGCAGTAGGTTATGTACTTACTATAGAGACTCCTAACTGGGCAAAGTGCTGAGAATAACATAACTGTTGAAAGATGAGCCTTAACTGGAATTTCTCTATCACACTGTGCAAAGCTCAGGGAACACCCCAAAAGAATGTCAGAGCTGGAGGAAGGGGTAGATGGGCAGTGTTGTGGAACATTTTCTTCTGGGCCTGTCTACTGTACTCTTCAATTCTTATCAGTTATGATTATTAGCATTAAGCCTGCACATCACTCAAGTTACTGAACATTCATTATTCTGGTATTAATAGTATGTAACAAGACAAAAACCAACAGCTTCTTTCATGATCATCTTGGTTTAATATGTAACATGTATGGCCAAATAAGTAACACGCAAAGAGAGCAGAGTCATGAATCCAAACTTTAAAATATGCCTTCAATACATGTTCTTAAAGAAATAAGTTTGCTCCTTACACTAGAGTTAAGAATCAGATGAAAGGGTGAATGATCACAATAAAATGTAACCAGTATAGCTGGTATACAAATTAGAATCAGAAACCTGTTTCCTTCTTCACAGGTTAATTCACTTTATATCTGCTTTATTCCCATTTCCCACCCTCCCTTGGTTGAAGCAATACATTCCAATCATACTACTTAGTTTGTCAAAAATCACAATGATGGAATTTTTATCAGTTCTTGCCATTACTTTAAATATTGCTAACAGTAGCCCTACGGGGTAGAGTGTAGACAACTGAAGATCAAGGGAAAAGATGCAAGCATTAAAATACACTGCTTCATTGGGAAGTAGAGAATACAGCTACCATCTGCATATCAATTACAAATGGTCACTTAACAATCTCACCTTCTTTTGGGTGCTGTAGATCAAACCCCTGGACTCCCAGATACCAAACAAACACTCCACCACTAAGTGATTTGTCCAAGTCCTGATCACACACACCCACCCCCAGCAGTCCTAGGGCCTTGAACCTGTCATGTAAGTTTTGACTATACAACCAGTTGGGATAGATCCCATCTCTAGCTTCTGAATGCTGACAGATGGCTCAGCTGCTCACCATTCCCACCTAGGCTTTTCACATCCAAACTGGTCTTTCTGCTTGTGTGGCAAGTGTTTTATTCAGTGAGCTATCACCTCAACCTTGAACTGCACCTACTTATCAAGAAGTGGTGTGTGATTATGAGAGATAACCTACGAACCCGGAAGGACAAAAAGTCATGTGGCGGAGGGAACCTCATTCTGTAAAATGACCCACTAGACTGGCTTGTGGGTAAGCCTTGGGCTGTTACCACCCCTGCGCTGGTGGTCCTGGATGCTATAAAGCAGTGTGAGCAAAATGAACGAATGAATGAACGAACAATAAATAAATGTGAAGAACCATAAAAAGAGATACTCATATAAAAGCATGCACTCCACTCCAGAAGGTTATTCCTACATTCCCCCCCCCCCTTTTTGGTTTTTTTTGAGACAGGGTCTCTCTGTGACTTTGGAGGCTGTCCTGGAACAAGCTCTTGTAGACCAGGCTGGTCTTGAACTCAGAGATGCACCTGCCTCTGCCTCCCAAGTGTTGGGATTAAAGCCTTTCGACACCAATGCCCCCAGCCTCTTCCTACATTTTTACCAAGTACAAATATATGAGTCACTTCCAATATAACTGCTCCAACGACTGTCAGGACAATGTCTTAGAAGTTCTCTTGTAAACTTTTTCCCTGTACATTTAAATACAACACAAACACAGGGAGAGTTTACACCACCCATACTTCATCCACTGTAGCTATTCTCAAAAGATAAATCAACAGGGAGTGATGACGCATGCCTTTAGTCCCAGCCTGGTCTACAGCGTGACAGTCAGAGAGGGCTACAGAGAAATCCTGTCTCCAAACACCAGAGTCAAAAATAAAAACAAAAAAAGCATGTTCTACATAAACACCCAAAGCAGCAACTCCTTTTGGTACTGACCTAGAAAATTAAAATACCCGACATAGTAATAAACCTTATGATAAGTTAAAGAACTTTTATTTTTTTTTTAAAGACAAGGCCTCTCTCTATGTGGCCCAGGTTGGTCTAGAGTTCTGAATTCGTGGATTACATATGCATGCTACCACACCTGGCTCTAGAACATTAAATTGCAATGATACAGTGGTTTATTTCTAACAGTATTCAAAGCAAAAAGAGCACGGCCACATTTCCTTTGTAAATCAGCAATTAGGCTTAGTCTAGTCTAATACAAGTATTAGAAACTCAGGGACTTAAATGTAAAGGCAGCAAATACTTCTACAATGCACTGTGTACAGCTGGATTACAAATAGCAAACACACATGAAGTGAGAGTAAGTACTTCTTTACAGCCACACACTATGCTGAGAACCAATCAACAAGACCTAGTTCTTTCCCTCCAAGCTTTGTAGGAATGCACAAAACATTTTTTTTTTAACGTTTTAGACACACACACACCCAACCATTTGGTTGTAATGAGGTCACAGAGCAGCTTCTAGCATCATACTGCCTGATATGGCATCTTGTGCCCATATAAATTAAGAGTCTGTTGTTTTTCTGAGATGGGGTTTCTTTGTGTAGCCCTGGCTGTCCTGGAACTGGCCCTGTAAACCTGGTTAGTCTCAAACCTGGAGATCCACCTGCCACAGCCTCCCAGGTGCTGGGATTAAAGGAATGAGTCACTTACTGAGATACAGGTGCAAGAAATAGGGACAAATTAGCTGAGCAGAGAGGAAACAGTGGTTATTAAAACCCTAAATAATGTAGTACATATCAGAATCACCCTAGGGGGCCTTAAATACTTATTCATATACCATGTGCTATTTTCATATGAAACTCCTAATTTACAAGATTGTAATGGTTAAAAGAGAATACATAACGCCTGAATAGTGTTTGACTTTTGTTCATTGTTTTAGTTATTTCTTCCATTATGTTTATGTGTGTAGTGAATACTAGTGACCAGAGGAGGGGTTGCATTCCTTAGAACTAGAGTTAGTTATCAGCCACCAAACGCAGGTACTGGGAATATAATTCAGATTTTTCATACAAAGTAGTACTCACTCTTAACTACTGGTTCTTTTTCTTCTTAGCCCCAGTAAAATCAACCAACTATTCCCTTAATTTCAACAGTGCTTATCAATGCTATAAATAAAAAGCAATTATACTTCAAAACAAACCACTGCACTGTATACAGCAGAGGTGGGAAGTAGTTATCTTTTTTTATCATAATCCTATCAACTTATATAAAGCATTTAAAAGCTGTTAAGACCTATT